TACTATTATATATATATATATATATATATATATATATATATATATATATATATTATTTTTAAACAATTTCCAACTTTCCAGATTGTTATCTAACCCACTTCACATATCACTTCAATTCTCCTTTCCTAACATTTTGTCTATCTTATAATTCAATTGTCAACATAATATAATAATCATAACAATAATAATAAAGAATTTGGAGAAACACTAAAATCAACCTACATACTAACATGTATATAAATTCGTAACATCATTCATCTTTGAGTGACAATTTACAACACTTCAATATGAGACAAACACCCCACTATCACCTTATGACTACTTATAACCATTTTAATAATTAGATCAAACAATTATCCACAAAAACTTGTCCCCCGATTTCCAAGAAGTCACGTGTAACAAAAATAACTTTGAAAAGCAATATGCTAATCTTTATCCTCACCTTAGAAAACATATGAATTGCCTCATGAATTACCATTCATTACGAAATTGAAAAGTTCCAATTTGAAATCTCACCTGGATGCAGTTCGCAATTGCGATGCCGAACCCTTGTTCGCTCCTTTCCCCCTTTTTTTTTCCAATTAATTATGTATTAAAAGTGATAAATTTTACTCACTTATTTTTATTAAATGTAGGCTAAAGGGTATAGGGTTTTAAATAAATTATCACTTTAGCCAATAAACTATCGATTAATTAATTCAAGTTAAGCAAATATTCAAAATTTCCAAAAATGACCTTTCGGGTCATTACATTTTAATACAAGTATATCATCCTATTCATTTTTATTTTTAAAATTACTTTTTAACATCTTTTCTTTAATTTCAATCTAATATATATTATTAAATTTTATCACACTTATTTATTTTCAAGTATATTCATTAGAGCCAAAATAAAGATGAAAATAATTAATTCATGATAAATTTTTATGTTAAAAGTAGGCATTTTTTATAAGCATAATTAATAGAAAAAATATTAAGAATTAAACTAAAGTAATAGTAAAATAGAGTAATAACAAAATAGATATCACAATAACTCATAAAAGAAAAGATAGTGAAATAATAACAATAACTTAAGATATTTCTATAACTATTTAATTTTCTTGTTATCATTCTAGGCAGATTTTTGTTAGTGTGAAGTTACATTTTTACCCTTGATCATTATTCACTTTATATAAAGAAAGAGATTCCTAGAATTATTTATTATCTTTCTTAATAGATTTTTGTTAGAATAAATTACATTTTTGCCCCTGATCGTCCTTCCATTCATTCTTCTATATAATAAAATATAGGAAAAATAAAATATATTAATATAAAATAAATAGAAAAATATTAATTATTCAAATACAATTTATTTTTTAATTAGTTCAAAATTTTCTTTCAAAAGTATGTAAAAACAAGCTTAACATTCATTATTGTTTGTTTAATTAATAGAAACTCTTCATTTTAACAAAATTATAATAATATCCTTATGAGCCCAAAACAAAAATTAAGACATGTATGGATTATTCTAGATTTTTCATTTTGACCATAAATTACACAATTATTATTTTGCCCCTTAAATGATGTTAAAATTACTAAAATATT